CAGTGACAGCTGACGATCTCGGTGTTGGTGGCGCTCTGGCTGTGCTTATGAAAGATGCCATTCTCCCCACTCTCATGCAGACCGTGGAAGGAACCCCCGTCTTCGTGCACGCTGGACCGTTCGCTAATATCGCTCACGGCAACTCGTCTATTATCGCGGACCAGATTGCACTGAAATTGGCAGGTGAAGATGGCTTCGTGGTCACCGAGTGTGGCTTTGGTGCCGATATCGGCATGGAAAAGTTCTTCAACATCAAGTGTCGTACCAGTGGCCTGACCCCGCAGTGTGTGGTGCTTGTCTCCACTATCCGCGCACTCAAGATGCACGGTGGTGGCCCCAATGTGGTCGCCGGCCAACCGGTAAGTTTCTGAGTACTTTTGACAAGATGCGTAGATTACTTACAATACTTTTTTTGTAGCTGCACCCGGTATATGTCGACGAGAACTTGGACATGTTGGAGAATGGTTGCGCTAATATGCAACACCATATTCGCAACGCTCTGAAGTTCGGTGTGGCTGTCGTTGTGGCTGTGAATGTGTTCGCCACGGACTCGCCTCGTGAAGTGGAGCTTGTGAAGCAGAAGGCTCTGGAGGCTGGAGCCACTGCTGCGGTGGAGAGCACGCACTGGTCTGAAGGTGGCAAGGGAGCCAAGAACTTGGGACGCGCTGTTGTGTCTTCATGCGAGAAGATGCGTGCGCAGGGCAGTCCGTTCAAGTTCCTGTACCCATTGGAGTTCAGCATCCCCGAGAAGTTCGAAGTCATCTGCAGTACGTTTGATGGTTCAATAGCTGGAATTTTAGAGATCGTAGCTGACTTTGGTGGTGATTTTTGTGATTTGCAGAGGAGATTTACGGTGCTGACGGCGTCGAGTTTAGCGAGGAAGCCAAGAAGAAACTGGCAGTCTACTCGCAGCGAGGTTACGGCAAGTTGCCTGTGTGTTGTGCTAAGACTCACCTGAGTTTGAGCACGGACCCGAAGCCGAAGGGTGTGCCCACGGGTTTCTCTGTCACTGTGCGTGACATCCGCGCGTCTGTAGGGGCTGGCTTCGTCTACCTGCTGTGTGGTGACATGATGACAGTCCCCGCCCTCCCCACTCGTCCAGGCTTCTACGACGTCGACCTGGACACCGAGACTGGCAAAGTGATTGGTCTGTTCTAAGGAAAAGCGGACAGCGTCCGACGACGAGCAAAGGGCGGCTTGTCACGATTGCACGCCCCCCTTTCCTCTCGATAGGTACCTAGAGCCACCCTGGTAACTGCTCGTAGAACTCAATTCATACCACACCCTGTGCCTTTGCTGTTGTGTCCATGAAGTGTATATATTGTCTGGGACTCTGGTACCATGGAGTCCGGTCTAGCTCGTCTCTGTTGGAGCTGCTTCCTCGGGTTTCCCCTCTGAGCGATTGTTGAGGAAAGTTTGCCAGTGGTAAAACTGTTGGCCGTGCACTAACGTCATGAAATCCTCCCGCGCGATCATCTGGCGGAAGCGTTCATCGTCCAGCATATCCAGAAAGGCCAGACAGTGCG